GGCGCACCTCGAGAAGCGGATGGCCCGAATCGAGACGCCACACGGCTCGCGCCGCCTCTTCGACCTCGTGCAGTGCACCGACCCGGCGCACCGCGTCGCCTTCTACTTTGCGCTGCACGACACGCTCGTCTGCGGCGACAAGAAGCTGGCGAGCGACGTCGCGATGGGCGGCGCAAAGCGGTGGCGCGTGGTGACGACTGACGGCGCCGACACCCTCCCCCGAGATTGCCCGAGATCGCCCATGGGGCGGGGCGGCGCGAGGCACAACCCTGCAGCAGCCCTCCCGGAACCTTCTCGGAACCTTCTTGGAGCCGCCCCCCCCCTCTCAGGCGTCGTCATCAACCCGAGTGGGACGATGGAGGGCGGCGGCAAGCCGCTGCGGGGCCGGATGGGCGGTGCGCAGAGCGAGGGGCTGAGCGAGGCTGAGCTCGCCAAGCTGCGCAAGCAGATCGACGCGCTCGGCTCAAAGCTCGACGCGGTCAAGGCCGAGCGGGCGGCGGCGCAGTCGGAGGCGCGCGAGCTGCAAAAGGAGGCGAAGCGCGCGCAGACGGTGCACAACAAGCAGGCGGGCTGCAGCTCTCGCCCGCTCGGGGGGGGGGGGGGGACACCTCGAAGACACGCCATCTCGAAGACACGCCCCCCTGAGACACGCCCCGCTGACATGCGCACGACACGTCCACGCGCAGGCGATGCAGCTCGAGGCGGCCGCCGCGCAGCGGGCCGCCCTCGAGAAGCGGCTCGACAGCGCGCGCGCGGCGAGCCAGCCGAGCGAGGCGGAGGTGGCGCGGCTGGCCGAGCTCGCAAAGGAGATCAAGGCGCTGGGCAAGCGCGTGGGCGAGGGCGAGAAGAAGGTTGGCGCGGCGGACGCGACGCTCGCGAGCCTGCCAGGGCGGCGCTCGACGGCCACACTGTCCTGTCCACCGGATCGCGCCTCGAGATCTTCTGCGACAGCTACCTGGGAAAACCCGGGTATACCTGGAAAATACCGGGCATTTTGCCGATTTCTCCGATTTTTGTCCGAGATTTTGCCTCAGAAGTCGTGGTAAATCTTACCACAATTTGATTGTTTTGGCCGTAGAGTGTTTGATTGTTCTGGGGGGCTATACCAGTAAATGGCCATCACTGGGTGAATTGTAAACTAGTACGGCTCTAACTACGCCGAGGATTCTGCCCCACACAGCCCCTTACCCCTTCACCCTCGCCTCGCTGCTTGGTGTTTCTGAACACGTAGACGACCACGCTGTGGGGATTGTGTGCGGGTTGTGTCTGGGAGGGAGGGAGTGGGGTGCAGGTTGCTCACCCACGGCACCGGGCCGGTGCTTGCACTTTGAATGCCGTGGGGCTCCTGCCCGTGTCCCGGGCGTGGAGATGCGAGGGTCGCCCCCCCTTGCCCCACCACTTTGTGTGTGTGGAGACGTTTACCTTACCTACCTTACCTTACCTACGCCGAGGACATGCACTCGGCCCGGAGGGCCGGGTAGGAGGGGTCTAGGTTACCTCTACCTCTGAGGGCCTGCGGCCCTCTTACCTTTACCTCTGTGGGCAGCCGTGGGCCCTTTACCTCTACCTCTGAGCGACGCGTAGTCGTAGCCGTGATCTTTACCTGTGGCTGTGCGTGATCTCGCACCTCGAGGATCTCTCTCTCGCCGCGCGAGGCGAGACAGTGTAGATCTCTCTCTCGACGTGGTCTCGAGTGATCTCGAGATGTTGAGATCTATCGATACAACATAATCTGCGATTTTCACTCGCCGAGAAGGGAACATAAAATGCGCAGCCGCACCCCCGGGCTCGGCCCGGCCCGCGACGGCTGGCCGCCGACGAGCGCGCGCGCTGCTCGTCAAAATGGCGGCGGTGGCGATTGCGGCGACGGTCGTTCAGTCGTACAGCGCTCAGGCGTCTGTCGTCTGTCGTCTGTTGTCACATTTCGCACACGCGCGCGCCGCGCGACCCGCGTCGCTCCGCGAGGGCATGAACCCTTCCGCGATTCGATCCCGCAGCCAAAAGCTGCTCGCTCGAACCGGGGCCGACTCTACTTTCCTGGCTGCAGCTGTCTAGCTCTCCAAATGACTGGTGCCTCATTTTGCTGCCTCCCTGCCGATGCTTCCTGCGAACCTTGTTGTCCCCTGTACTACAAGGAAGTGTTTTCACTTATTCTTCCCTCATATTCTTCCCCTCCCCCACAACTTCGAATGCCATATGTCATCTGGTCCCTCGTGTTCCTTTTCCCCCAAAGTGTGTATCCCCCCTTATTCT